ATTAATAGGGACACACAACAATAATTTTGCTTTATAAAATTTCACAACTTTTGATTGTTTCCTACTTTATATGTTTTATTTAATTTACAATTTGATTGTTTTCCTTTTCAAATTTAAATACTGTACAGAACGCTGCAGAGGTCCTGAAGATTTACTGCCACCAAGACCACAACTTTATGACAGCTAGCATCCCTGTCCATCGACTGTTTGTACATATAAGAAGACTTGTAGCTGCTGGGTATAAGGTATGTGATTATTTAAGGATACACCAAAGGCTTTTTTCAAGATTTTCAACAATTTTGAGATTTTTGGCCAAGAAAAAGAAGTTAATCACTGCTTTATAATGCATGTAAAATTCTTGGTAATTATGAAATGGTTTTCTAATTATTGAACAATAATGAAACATAAACACTACCACATGTGAATGTTCCGTTATTGAAGCTTCTGATTTGATCTGTGACTGCCTGCTCATGAAAGACGCAATAAATCACTGTGACCACTTGGGGAATTCTTCACTAGCCACACAGAGGTTATCAGTAATTAAACTACAGGGACTCTAGATTTAGAGAAAGAGATCTAACAGATCACTGATGACCATAAAATAGGAGGTGGAGCTTAGCTCTTGCCATTTTGCCGGGAAATCTTTCTGATTCAGAATTGAACCTATTTTACTTAATTAAAAGCATCTAAATACAGAAAAGAACCTCCCATTCTTGTGAATATGCATAGGAAATATGGCTAAGTGGCAGGTATCCAAAGCTGAATCTCCAAGGTGTCATATATTCCTAGCTTTGGCAGATTTTGTTGTGTAATGGGTTTTTGCCCTCTACTGTAAAGTAAGATCAGACAGTTTGTGGTATTATTTCAAAGGATTCAGCTCCCTTATTTATGGACCAATTTCTTTGAAAATTGGATGGGTTGCTTCTCAAATGTGTGTTCACAAAACCGTATCTCAGATTTTTGATATCTAGCTTAGTTTTGGAATTATTGAGGGAAATGTTAAATTAGGCTAATAAATTGGTAACATTGAAGGACAAATGGCTGTAACTTTTGAATTAGAAGATTTATCAAAAATCTGAGATACGGTTTTTAAGTTCAATCTTTAGTCTACCTTGAGGTAAAATGACCACTTTGAGGGGTTAAATACAAAAAAGTTGATTTATAAAATATTTAAGCACTAAAATTTACATTAATATTTAAATAATTTTTGAATAAGTTATTAATTAAAGTTTAAATTAGGATAATTAAATAGTAAATTTAACAAGCTTTCAAATGATATATACTTTTATTATGTTATCTTTGATAATGAAAGAATTACATGCCAATTAAATTCTGGCATTTGGAAACCTTTGGTGTATCCTTAAGGAATGTTTCTTAGTTTTGAGGGTGTTATTGGTGTGTAAATCTTACAGACTATTTCACGAAGTGTGCTAGCACTTCATAAAAAAATTACCTGTATATGTGACAAGTCTGTGTGACTTACACACCTTATAAAATTCACAAACTAAAAATAAAACTATATTTACATTTTACATGTTTAAAACCAACAAATATATTGCACTCATTATTTGAATTCATCACTGCCTTTGATCACCATGTTTTCATTACATTACCTATAAATGGTATTCAGTAGGAAAAAAAACACAAATGTAAATATTACTAGTACTCATTAACACTGTTTAGTTCTATAGATAGAGTCAATAAATAATGAATACAGATTAAACCTGTGTAAAAAGGAATGAATTCACAATACATCCTGTAGGTAGGAGTTGTGAAGCAGACAGAGACAGCAGCACTTAAAGCTTGTGGAGACAACAAGAGTGGTCCATTCACCAGAGAACTCTCAGCCATGTACACCAAATCCACACTGTTTGGTCAAGATATCCTTAGTTTTTGGCTAATTTACAAAGCAAAACTGGTTTGAGGATTGATTAAAGCTGCTTAGATTTTTTTCAGTGACATATTCAGTGGAATCTACAAACTTCACATACTGGTAGTTAAGGACGAGATTTTCAAATAATCCATCATATTTGCCCTTGAGATTTATTACCAGTGTAATTACTTTATCTTGTAATGGGTAAATAAAATATGATTGAATAACCTGTGCTGATGTTTTAAGTATTGTCATTTGACCTTGGCTTTGACCTATTGCAGGGTCGTCCCTAAGACCTGGGGGCCTGGCAATTTCCCTGCCTATAGTGACATAATACCCTGGTTATTCTAGTATTCCCCCTCAACCCCCCGTTAGGGAAGGAACCCCAGACCCTCTTCAACTTTTTTAATGTCCCCTGCTATTTCAATTCTTAGGGACAACTCTGCCTATTGTAATGAATCCACGAAATGAAATTTACATGTATCTCTGTTGCGGAGGCTTAATATGATAGCAGGGTAGATAGTTAAATTATTGCCTTTGGAGTTTATCTTGACCTTTACCTTTGACCTTAAAAATGGTAAGTGATACATACTGATGTTGCTGGTGATGAAGATTGAATTGGATGCAATATTTTGAATATCTTGCTCTATGCTGACTTGGACATATTTCAGTTTCATGTCAAATCATAATGCATGTTTTTCACAGCTCATACTGATAAATTTTGCAAAGGGATCTATATACATGCAATTGAAAATAAAGAAATGTCCTGTTAAATTTAGAACAAATGCATTTTCCTTAACACATTGCACATGTTGACCCATTGAATACTTCAGAAGAACTGCAAGGGGAGATAAATGCAGAGAGAAGCAGCAGCGAGTATCTGATGTGTGTGTATGATGTTCCTCATGACAAAGTCTCAAAGCACCAAACAATAGGTATCCTTGTAAGTCAAATCACTGTCTTTTAATTGTGAAAGTAGAAGGAATTACATATGAAAGAAATAATTCTAAAGACCTGTTAGAATCATCGTTGGGGAGGGGGATTAAGTTCTAGATGCTTTACTGTATACAGGAAAGTTTTTGCCCCTACTCACAGGTGGGCGAATTTAAAACAAGGTGATTTCAAAGAACATGGTATAATTTCTTCAACAGAACTGTAACTGGGCGAATTTAAAGCGGGGCAAAATAGTTAACAAGTGTAAAAGTGCTAAAATGACACGGGACAAAAACACCCCTGTATACAGTATTCTGTTACTATAATTATTTACATATATACCTTGATACTTTTTTATGTTTGTTTAGCAGGTTTCAGTAAGAAAGCACACTGTACATAATAATTAATACACAATTATTATAATGAAAAATACATTATTCATGTATATATTTTTATATTTTGTAAAATTCAGTTGAGAAACATTGCTGTTCATGTAAAAAAAATCTTCAGACACACTACAGTAAGTTTTTGACCACATTATTTCAGGCCGTGCAGCCTTCAACAGGGGATGTTATTTATGACAGCTTTGAAGACTCAGACCTTAGAAGTCAGCTGGAGACGAGAATTCTTCACATTCAACCAGTGGAGTTATTAACCAGTAAAACACTGTCTGATGCAACCCTGAAACTGTTATCAGATATTGCAGCTTTGAGGTAGGAGACTACTTGGTGTTTGTGTGTGTGTGTGTGTGTGGAAGGGGTGGGGGGGGGGGGGGTGGGGGGTAGTTACTTGTATGTTTAATGATTTGATTTTTTTTTTTAGCATTTCAGAGTTTAAAAAAAAAGTAAATAATGTACATGTAAATGAAATAATCACACTGACAGCATGTTTTTCATTCTGCATATGTTGCGAGAGTGTCCCAGAATTATTCTTACGTCTAGAAAATTGTCTCCATATTCAATACATGTATTTATCAATGGAGTAATACATGTATTCTCAGAATTATTTTTGTCAGTATTAAGTGTTTAAGAATCAATCATAATACTACCTTCATTTAAAAAAAATTCTATAAATCCATGTAATTTATCATGGAACACATTTTTAAACTGAAGTTTATTTCACAATAAGAAAATTGCTGCATATAAGGTTTTTTATTGTACATGTAGGTCAACAGATGATGACAGACTGAGACAAGAGCAGTGTGATGACGAGGTGTTTGAATTCAGATCATCATTTACAGCAGTGTCAGAATTCTACAAGGCACATGGGAAAGGTATCCATTGACCTGAATTACAGAAGAAAGGGGCACAAGGATAAATGTGTTACATTGACAGTGTGTCCTACTTTTTTTTTCAATTTATACAGTGTAAGATTTGTTTTGGTTTTTCAAGATATTTTATGTGATTTTGTAGACCCCTCTGTTGTACAATCAGTGATCAATCTTCCCCCTCCTGTCATCAGCTGTTTAGCTGCTGTGTTGAAATACTTGAAAGACTTTGGACTTCAAAAAGCCCTACAGGACTCAAGGTAAAAGGAATTTTCAAAAATTGTTAAAAAAATAACCATCTTTTTTACTGCATGAGTAAGAAAATGACATTGATGAAGCAGATGAACATTCTTAATGAATTTCCATGCATGTTATTTTAGAGACAATTGTACATACAATTTATTCAATATTTTTATTTGATATTCTTTGTCAGATAAATGTCATGTTTCCTTGCATATCAAATAAAGAGAACCATTGAACTTTTCAGCAATTTTACACAGTTTTCAGAAAAGTTGAAGCATCTTCACTTGCCAGGGAACACTGTAAGAAATCTGGAACTTTTTTGTAACCAGAATGATGGCAAGGAGAGGGACTCATTGTACTGGTTAATGAACCAGACCGTGACAAAGTTTGGTGGCAGAAAGCTCAAGGCCTGGCTTACTCATCCTCTTATGGACATCAAGTAGGAATCTCCCACTTACTTCAAATTTGTAAAGAAAAATATTTTTATAAAATTCAGATACTTCACTATAAAATCAAATTAGTTCAAAGAATAAGTTTCTGTGTTTTTTTTACTTTCAGAGAAATTTTAATAAGACAAGAAGCAGTGAATAGAATTTTAGACAATATCAACTCCAGTGTTCTTGGTAAATTTCGAAGCATTCTCGGAAAATCACCTGATCTGGAAAGAGGATTATGCTCAATATTTTATGAAAAGGTACATTTTCATCTCTTTATTTGTAAAATAAAATAAATGCCTGACCAAATTACCACATACACATACCTTAGTGTGTTTTAATTTTGCAGAGCAGTGTACAAGAATTCTACTCCGTATCCAGGTCCCTGTCCACAGTGCTGAGTGAAGTAGAGGAAGTGAAGAAATGGCTGACTGACAACTTGAACTGTTCTTTACTGCAACAAATTTTTAATGATATTCCTGATCTTCTCTCTGACATCAAACAGTTTAAGGAATCACTTAATGAAACTGCTGTTAAGTAAGTGAAATTGTTATCATTTTATTTTAGTTTACTTGTGAATTTTCACATCTTTCGATTTATTGATTCAAAGTAAAATTTTAAGAGGTCATATAAAGATAAAAAATAATTTGCTCAGGATATTGCTAGATACTTTTGTTTAATTATTTGGATCAGATTGAAGCATTTTCCAGTTATCATTGTGATGTTTGACAGAGTGCTATGGATCACTGTTTAGTATCACTTCATCTACCTGTAGCATAAAATGGTCAGAACTTCACATCTTAACTTAGTTTTATGAAACTTTATGGAAGTATTGTTAGAAACATACATGAACATGCAATTGATTATGCTTCATTCAGTCTAGATAGTTTCGTTAACTTAATTTTGACTTGGGGGTGGAGGAGGAGGAATGTTCAGAAACTTAAGTGTGTGAAATTTGAAATTCATTTAAACTAATTAGGTAAAAATGCTATCATCAAACGGTCCCATAAAAGTCAAAGAGAAATATTTTTTCTTTTTTAGGGCAAATGACAAAACCAAAATTTTTATAAATGAACAAGATTTCCCGGACATTGGAAAGAGGAAGAAACAAATTGAGGCAGTAAGGACAGAAATTTTGGATCATCGACGAGAAATCCGCCTTCTACTTCGTCAGCCTTCTCTAGACTATGTCACAGTAATGGGAATAGAGGTAATGCTAGTCATATTTTCTCTCTGTTATAGCTAATGTACAATGAATCTACATATAGATGTAGATGCTAATGGACATCTCATCATTTAAGCAAGTTAAGAGTATAATGTATTTCGGAGACTGAAATTTCTTCTGTAATATTTTAGTACCTGATAGAAGTCAAGAATGCCCACATAAATCTGGTTCCCAATGACTGGGTCAGAATCAGCAGGTAATATGACACCATTGTAAGAATTTACTATTGTCTTTGTACATGTATGTGGCAAAATATAGAAATTAAGTTGTTATACATGTACATGAATTATGACATGTTTTTTTCATTCTGAGATTAAAATCCTGTATTTAAAAATAATAGTGGAATACATGTTTGTCATTGTAATGGAGTACATATACATGTACAAGTATATACATATAAACATACATGTATACTTTGTAATATATTCTCAATATTATTTATTTTAGATTTTAACTGTGTGTTTGAGTATATATATATATATATATATATATATATATATATATATATATATATATATATATATATATATATATATATATATATATATATATATATATATATACAGCCTACTCCGGATATATTGAAATTCAGGGGACCATGCAAATTATTTCAATATATCCGTAATTCAATATAAGCGAAATCGTGAAGCCGCCATTTTTACAAGTTCAATCCCGATCTTAAATAAAGAAGAACAAACCCGAACAAATTAATTTTGTCATCGTTTATCTATAACAGTTAACAGATTACAAAGAATATGAGTCCTTGAAGTTTTAAATATTTTTTTTAAATCTGTTTCATTGAAAAGACTTCGATTCACCCCTTATTATTATTCCCCGATCGCATTTATTTACGTTTTGGAGAAAATTCACAGACTTGAACAGTTACATGTAAGTACTGCTGAATGCTGCTTGTATTTCATCGTAAGTGTACTCGGGTTAATCCCTTAGTTATTTCGAATTTAGGCATATGAATTAATTAACAGTACGTATTTAATTTCAAAGTTATGTTTTTTAGCTAGATCTGTGGGGATTAGTATATTACGTTTAGCTGTTTAGCCTCAATATGTCCGTATTATATACGCGGATGCAAAAAATCGAACAGTGAAGAATTTTATTTCGTAAGAACATGCAGTATTAAAACACAAATGTTGAAAACTAAATTATTCACACCTTTGTATATCAACTGCTCAATCAGGCATAATTACTGTCACCAACCGTAACGACAGCCGCCAGGGAGTACTTCAATATAACCGTTATTAAAACAACTCATTATCACCTGTGGGGACTGATCAGTGGCTTCAATATAAGCGAAATTTCAATATAACCGATTTCAATATAACCGTTATTTTAATGCAAAGAATATGAGAGGCAAAATCTGGGGATTTATTTCTAATTCAAAATAAGCGGAATTTCAAAATAAGCGAGTTCAATATAAGTGGAGTAAGCTGTATATCTATACCGGTATATATAATTTTCTCTTTAAAGAATGGGATTTTATAAATACAGGTACAAATAACTAGATGTTATATGTGTAATTTTCTGAAATAAACTACTAGTTTATAAGGTAATTGATATTTAACTTATTTATACAGCACAAAAACAGTGACCAGATTTCACTCTCCATTTATTGAATCCAAAGTGAGGGAGCTGAGTCAGCTTCAGGAACAGCTGGTGTTAGATTCACAGGCAGCTTGGTTGTCCTTTCTACAGTAAGAATATTCTGTACAAATCAGGCATCTGTTTTAAGTTAAGTGTCAATATGATGGAAGCAGCTGTGAAAAATTATAAAGCATATTTTAGAAAGGATGTAACATATTACATCAAGCTATGCAGCATTTAGTCAGAAGGTATATAAAGTGATCAATGTGAAAATAAGTTAAAAACAAATGGCATTATAATGTGTTTGCAATTTGTAGACAATTTAATGAGGGATTTAGAAGATATAAAACAGCTGTAGATCATCTGGCTACATTTGACTGCTTGTTTTCTTTGGCATTTGTTGCCAAGCATCAGGCCTTCTGCAGGTATGGTTACTTACAAGTATACATTTGTAGCTGGCATTGGTTTTGTGTAAATGTTTTTAAAAAAGGAGGAATGTACATGCAAGTCTCAAGATGATCACTGATTCAATCTATAAACACTTAAAAAAAACTATAGGTCATTTGGCACTTTGTGCTTCATTTACAGGCCAGACATACTTGCAGATGATATATGTATAGAAATAAAACAAGGCAGACACCCTGTAATTCAGCACTTGATTGGAGAGTGTGGACAATATGTAGCCAATGATACAAATTTAAAGGTAATTTGGATTGTCCCAGAAATAATAAACAAAATAATGGTAGATGATGTAGAAGCAAGAAAATTACAAAGACAGACTTGCTCACTGAGGGTTTTTGTTGTAGGGTTCATCAGAAAGAGTGATGATCATTACTGGGCCAAACATGGGTGGTAAGAGCTCCTTCATCAAACAGGTAGCCATCATATGTATCCTGGCTCAGATAGGTTCTTACGTTCCAGCTGATTCAGCTAGAATAGGCATCCTGGATGCCATATTTACAAGGTCTGTTTAAAAAACCAATGCAAATAACCACTTTTGTATGTGTTAACTTGCAAGAAATCCTTATCCTGCATTCATAACAATATCAAATTGAACTGCATTATCTAATTTGATCTTGTTAACTACCAAATCCAGGATGGGAGCAGCTGATGAGATCTTCAGTGGTAGAAGCACTTTTATGGTGGAGCTCCAGGAAACCTCAGATATCCTATCACAAGCTACCTCACACTCGCTGGTTATTCTGGACGAACTTGGGAGGGGAACCAGTACACATGATGGTGTTGCAATTGCCTATGCCACCTTGGACTACTTTATCTCAAAGGTTATTGTATAGCAGAAAACCACTTTGTTCACCAAAGTTCACTATATTGCTTTATATTACAATTTCATTCACAGAGAATTTTTTTTAGATTTTTTAAAAACAAGGTTTTTTTTAATCAAATACAGGTTCAGTGCCAAACGTTATTTGTGACACATTATCCAATTCTGGCAGAGTTTGAAAAGTTGTACCCTCGGAATGTTGGCAATTTTCACATGGGATTTATTGTACATGAAGACAATGGATCAGGTATGCCAGATATCTAACTCCAGGCTGGGTTTCTTATCAAATGTATCAAAAACTTAATTATTTCACAATAGATAAACAGTTGTGAATAGACTTTTGGACATACATATGTGTACTAGTAAAAGTACAAAATAAATAGTTACATGGATGACTATCAAATTTTGATTCGCTTACATCCAGAATATTCATGTCTGTCACAAAGAAATATGAATTCTGTGATAGTTTCCTAATGAAAAGGTTTGTTATACATGAACTAAAATTGATTAATAAGCTTCCAGAGTTGTTAATTGCTCCATTTGACATCTATAGATCCCCAAAACCAGATGGCTATTCCTTGTTTTTACAGTTTTCTTCAGTTTTGATTGAAATTCATATTTTTCTTTATTACCCTCTGTCTTTTTTCCATATGTATACTTCATGCAATGACACATTTATTCATGCGATCAATTGGTTCCACACTCTATATCTTTTATACTAAACATAGGACTAATGCCCAGTAATACCAAACTTCATGGTCTATCCAAATGAGAATAGAAAGATCTTTTATTCGAGGTCTAGAAGAAATACTACTGTAATAGGTTTATTTTTGCCCTTTCACATTTGCAAATGATTCAGCCCCATTTTAAATTTGCCAAGACACAGTTAAGATTATGCTGTCTTCTTTAAATTGGCTCCATCTGAAATTTGCCCACTTGCAACAAGTGTGAAAGGGGTGAAAATTTCCCTGTATACAGTAATAATTTAACTATATTTTTTTTCCTGTTGACAATTTACAGATGATGAAGACAAACAAACAATTACTTTCCTTTACCAGCTGGTAAGAGGAATGGCAGCAAGGAGTTATGGCTTAAATGTTGCTCGACTTGCTGGAATACCCCAAAGTATTATAAAAACAGCAGCTCAACTGTCGTCACAGCTGGAGGATAAGATCCAGAAAAGAAGGTGCGCTCCTTTGATACAGCTATTAACTTGCACGTGAATTAAGATGTACTTTCAATAAGCCACAAGTTACCTCTGGTTTAAAGAAAGGAACTGTATAACTTGACATTTTAATGATCATCTATAAGTAATTACAGCAGTATTGACATGGTTTTGGAGTCAATAAAAATTAAGTTTTCAGTATTTTGAATTAATAGATATATTTGTAGTGGAACTTTCATTATTTTTTACATTGGTTTTTGCACAGGAATAAAAGTTGGTTCACAGTACATATACCAGTAGTTGTATACTAATAAATGTTCAACTATGAGAGAAGAAAAACATAACACTAGGATTATATGGATTTTTAATTATAATGAAATGTCAGAACTTATTTGTAATCTACTTACATTGTCCATTCACATATACCTAAAACATAAAACTACCAAATGAAGGTGGGTTGTAATATTTTAGAGAAAAGATGCATTTCATTAATAAGTAGCAGTTCTCCTATTTTTAGCTCTTCTGAGCCAAAGGACCAAAGAGCTAATGCTATGGCCATTTGTGCGGTGTGTGTAAACTTTCTAGAATGTGAGCCATAACTCAAGAACCCCTTGGCCAATTATTGTCAAATTTGTCGCAGGGTATCTTTGGACCCAAGGGCTCCCGTTTATACTAAAACTAGGGTTGTAACCCTTAAACAAGGGGAGATAATTAGGAAAATAGAAACAAAAGTACTGGTTGCTAAAAAATCTTCTTAAGAACCACTGGGCAGATTATCACCATGCAAACTTACACAAAAGGATAAGGATATGCCGAAGATTTAAAAATTGTTCAAGGCATCACCCTGGGGCAATGGGCGTGGTCTCAAGGTCACTTCAAAGTTGACCAAAAATTACATTTTATTAAAATGTTGATATTTTGCTTACCATAAGGACTAGGATCATCAAATCTTGTCAGTTGATGCATCTAAGGACCTCATATCATGTTGACTCAAAAGTAGGTCACAGTGACCTACTTTTAAATTTTTTTGCAGCCATTCTTTTTAAAAATGATTTAGAGGCATATTTTGAACAATTTAAGGCCTATGATCATCAAACTTTGTCAGTTAATGCATCTTGGGTCCTCGGAGTACGTCAACTAAAAAGTAGGTCACCTTGACCTACTTTTTAATTTTATGGCTAATCTTTTTCAAAACAATTAAGGTTATTAATTCGAATACTGAGAGGTTTAGAATCATTAAATCTTGTAAGATGATGCATCTTGGGTCATTAAGCATATTTATTTAAAAGTAGATCACAGTGACCTACTTTTTGAACTTAGCAGGCATTCGATTTCAAAGCATTTTAGAGGCATAATTTGGACATTTTAAGGCCTATGATCATAAAACTTTGTGAGTTGATGCATATTGGGTCCTTGAAAAACATCAATTGAAAAGTAGGTCACCGTGGTCTACTTTTGAAATGTTATGGCTATATTTAAATGTTTATGGTACTATTTGGCTTAGATTCATCAAAATTTGTCAGTTGATGTATTTTGGGTCCTCAGAGTAGGTCGACTAAAAAGTAGGTCACTGTGACCTACTTTTCAATTTATATGACTATAATTAAATATTTCGGGTACTAATTGGCTTAGAATCATCAAACTTTGTAAGCTGATGCATCTTGGGTCTTCGGAGTAAGTCGACTGAAAAGTAGGTCACCGTGACCTACTTTTGAAAATTTATGGCTTGGCTTAGAATCATCAAATATTGTCAGTTGATGCATCTTGGGTCCTCAAAGTACATCAACTGAAAAGTAGGTTACTGTGACCTACTTTTGAAATTTTATGGCTATATTTAAATATATTTGGGTACTGTTTGGCTTAGAATCATCAAACTTTGTCAGTTGATGCATCTGGGTCCTCAGAGTATGTCTACTGAAAAGTAGGTCACCGTGACCTACTTTTCAATTATATGGCTATAATTAAATAATTCAGTTACTAATTGGCTTAGAATCATCAAACTTTGTCAGTTGATGCATCTTGGGTCCTCGGGGTAAGTTAACTGAAAAGTAGGTCACCATGACCTACTTTTGAAATTTTATGGCTTTATTCAAATATTTCAGGCACTAATTGGCTTAGAATCATTAAACTTTGTCAGTTGATGCATCTTGGGTCCTCGGAGTAAGTTGATTGAAATGTAGGTCACTGTGACCTACTTTTGAAATTTTATGGCTTTATTTGAATATATCAGGTACTAATATGGCTTAGAATCATCAAACTTTGTCAGTTGATGCATCTTTGGTTCTCGGAGTATGTTGACTTACATGTAGGTCACTCTGACCTACTTTTCAAATTTTATGGCTATATTTAAATAATTTCGGGTACTCATTTGTTTAGAGTCATCAAACTTTGTTGTTTGATGCATCTTAGGTGCTTGGAGTACGTCAACTGAAAAGTAGGTCACTGTGACCTGATCAAATATTTTTCAGGTACTAATTGGCTTAGAATCATCAAATTTTGTCAGTTGATGCATCTTGGGTCCTCAAAGTATGTCAACTGAAAAGTGGTCACTGTGACCTATTTTTGAAATTTTATGCATGGTTATAATTAAATATTTCGGTTACTAATTGGCTTAGAATCATCAAACTTTGTCTGACTCAGTTGTTGCATCTTGGGTCCTCGGAGTATGTCAACTGAAAAGTAGCGCTAGGTCAACGTGACCTACTTATGAAATTTTATGGCTTTATATAAATATTTCAGGTACTATTTGGCTTAGAATTATCAATCTTAGTTGATGCATCTTGGGTCCTCGGAGAATGACAAGTGATAAGTAGGATACCATTACCTACTCTCAGGTACTAATTGGCTTAGAATCATCCTGGGTTCTCAGAGTGTTTTATCTAAAATGTAGGTCGTGATGACCTATTTTTGGAATTTCAAGGCTTTATTTAAATATACAGGATACTTAGAGGCTTCAAATAGAAGTGATACTGGTTGTACAATTTATCAGAAGAGCGATTCAAGGCCCTTGGGCCTGTTGTATGATAAGTTGCATGATGGCTGTTGTGTCCAAGGAAAAAATCAGCTGTTGAAATGAAATAACTATAAGAAATGTATTTCCTGAGAAAAAAAAAATCATAGACACTACTGCCCTCAAGTTGAAAACCATGAAATTGTTTGTTTTAAGGACCCTCTATACACTGATGAAAAATGTTTTTTGGACTTTGAGATAATTATATAACTTAAAGGAGGATATTTTGAAATTAACCAACTCGTTTTTAATATAGGGAGCGTGCCTTTTTTATTCAGGAAAAATCTTCAAAGACAATGAAGTAATAGAAAAGAAAAATTGCCTTCGCTTACTCAAATGGATAAAATACATGCAAATAAAGTTTTCAAATACTCTATCTTGGTCTAATATAATGTTTAGAATTCTTGGATTTATTTTAAATTAAGTGAAACAGTTCAGATTACAATTTATTCTACTTAGATGTCAAATGGTGGGTCAGTCTAATCACACAAAAGTACCTTGAAAATAGAGTGCAGTGTAGAGAGGGTCCTTAAGAGCCTAAAACTCCCTAGATCTTATAGTTTGGCATCTTCAACAACAAAGTATAGAAAATGTTTAGAATTTAGAAAAATTAGAGTAATCAATGACAAAGGATCCCTTTTTTTCTTTTGTTAAAGTAACCAGTTATACAGTGCTGCAATAGATTTGTTCCTTGGCAATTTATTGCCTGAAGTTTCCTATGTCCTTAAAGTAGTGGCAAAATATTTGAATTGCAGATTGTACAATTTTTATGAATTAATGCTATTTAAGCTACTCATACATAGATCAGACTATGTAAAGAATTGTCATTCTTTGCAGATTAGAACTGGAAGCCTTTCGAAGAATGATGTTGGAAACTGATGACAACAAACTCCTTCAGTATACCAAGACATTTTTGGAATCAAACACTGGGCAGAGTGATCCACCAAACTGAATTTTAATTATGTAATATGAACAAAATAAATTATAGAAGCAAATGTGCATTTAGCTCTGGGTTTGCTTTTTGTGTCAAAGATGTTTTTTATGAAGGATAAATGGGGTATGTCATTTATCCCTGCCCCTCTCCTCAAACCTAACCCAATGGTTTATATCCAGTGTACATCAATGATTTCTTTTACAGCTTTGTCCATTTGGAAGTTTACTGTGAAGTTTACACCATGTTTTAATGTTTACGAACACAGCATCCATTTCTCCCACAACAGGATGTTTGATTGTAGAGTGTAGAAAAAATCCTCCCACTTCCTCAAAAAACTGTTTTAAATGTTTGAGCTTCTCCGCTGTTTTGACGGAATCAACATAATTTCTGCTTTTAATTAAGTATTCTATTGTCCAAACATCCACTCTGAGTTTCCCCGAAATTAAATCACCTTTGATGGACTCCAATACCAAGAGCTCTGCTCCTTCTACATCGAGTGAGAAGTAATCTACGTGGTGTATGCCTATCTTATCAAGCACAGCTCTCAACTGGTAACACTTTACTTTTACAACCTCTGGATTGTTTAGCAGACTTTCGTGCTTCTCTAGATCCTTCATTGCTCCAAATACATCGTCTTTTACAAAGTCTACATGTTTCTGGTTACGTGAGATACAACCACACAGTCTCCATGCATGTCGCATGTGACTGTCAATTTGACGACAGAGGTCGGGGTTCGCCTCTATAAGCAGACCCAGCCAACCGTGTTGGCGCTCCAGCCATAGAGTATTTGACAAATGTTTCCCATCGAACGCTCCCATTTCTATGTAAAATCCGTTTTCTTTAGGAAGCATATTATACACCATCTCGTCCTGTCCAGCCTGTGAATATTTGACATCAGCGTTGTCTTCTTTTTTAATGGGATGCGGGGGGAGTAAATTTTCATCAATGCGGTCTGTAAGATTGTGGTAGCAATAGAGGTACACCACCATTGATATCACAACCACAAAGAACAGCAAACGTTTGTTTTTTCTCGTCCAGTCTCTAAAACTGAAAGCAAATGCAGCATTTTATTATTTCAAGCAGAAATAAATAAATCTCAGATCTTACTATATTGATACACCCTATAGTATAAACCCTAGTCTCAGCTCAGGGTTAATCTTTTTCTAGGTAATTTTTTCAGTTACTTTACACAGGGACGTAGCATCGTTTTTGAAAGGTGGGCAGCCAGAGAAAAAAAATATTTCAGAACTCGAAAATCAAATTTTATACCAAATTTTATTCATACTCTACTACAAAACCCTTATTTTACTATTCCACAACAAAAAGTGGGGGGGGGGGGGCAACCGGCCTTTCAATTCACATTTCAAATTAGAAAAAAGTGGGGGAGGCCCCCCTGCCCCCCCCCCCCCCCCCTGCTACGTGCCTGCTTTACAATGTAAACCAACAGCTCTGAAAATCCGGGGGTGGGGTGTGTTTTCATAACCCCTGACACCCCCCCCCCCCCCAGTATGCATGGTGTAAGCACTATGTACGTCAAACAGACCGACGGGTAAAGGACAAAGGGGGGGGCTATCTTCATTTGTCAGTGATTTTTCTTAGTCCAGTAATTGCGATATACATGTATGATGGCTTTTGCGCATCGTATGCGAAATATTTTTTAAAATGGGCAACGTGGTCTATAATATAATAATTTCGTTTCCTACCTAAAGCCTGGCGATGTCCTCATCCTAAAATACCGATGTGTTCACATTGTTCATTCGTATTTTCATTATGGATTTCCATTATAAGCTACTTATGAAGCCGTATTGTTACTTACACTTATTACTAACACGGGTAGTTAAAGGTGCGTTTTAAAATACATGTAGTTAATTTTAAAAGTACGATCCGGCATTTGGACGATATTTATATAATGAATTTCAGGGACTTGCACGAAAAATATTGTGTTATATTTTAACGCAGTATTCATCAAAATTCAATAATAACCCCCCCCCCCCCCCCGTTCCTGAACATATCTTATCTGTAAGGTATAACATGGAATACGTATCTAAGGACAATATATTTTTTCTGTCTAGCATACAAGTATTTGGAATAAATAAAGTACTTATTCGTTAAAATTACCGTCTCATTAAATATTTTTGTTTCTGTTGATTTATTCTTTATTTTAAAGTTGTCATTGAATTTAGCATATGCCTCGATTTGACAACTTATTTTATTATATGATTGATTAATTCCTTTCTCTCTGATTGCATGGCTGAGATCCAACAATGTAGAAAAAATACTAAGTTATATTCACCTGCACGTGACTTTTTCGGTGAATATAGGGATTTTTTCCCCACATTAGACTAAAAATTGATTGGGATATTCCAAATTGATACAAATAGTTTTGGAAAGTTATTTCACTTGCACCTGACTTCCACTCATATGAACATAACATTAAGGCACTTAGATTCTTGGGTGGGGGTTGCCCCTTTCCCCACCTATTGAAAATGTAAATTTCGAATTTAAATTTTAAGGAAAAAAATTCAATGAAAGCCCCCCTCCCCTCGTTTATGGACCTTAACATCCCACCAAATGAAATTATGAGTTGGGAGAATTCTTTTCTTGGGGGGGGGGGGGGGTTAGTCAAAGATTTGTTTTCAGGTAAGTTGTCAATTTTATTCCTTATAATGCCCTCTTTTTTCAAAATAAATCCTTACATGTGCCTGACAATTATTTTTTCTACATGTTCATTGCACCTAAAGTAGAATTAAAGCTTTCAAAATATTACAACTGGTTATGTTTTAACCCCGTTTCTCTCTTTATGTTTGGCTGGTACTTCAGTAACACAGAGGTTAAAAAAAAAAGAAATTTATATTATTTATAAAAAATATTTCAAGGTCTCAAATTTTTAAATATTGAACTGATATTATTTCTTAAGTATTTATACTTGAAATTTTATTATAAGAAAACATTAGTTCTATAAAGTAAGTTTTGTATTTAAAGGCAGAGATTTTTTACCGGGTGGTAAATTCCAGGTGAGGGAGGGGCTTATTTTGTACAGGTGTGAATGCCTTGGCTAGCAGTCTACCTGTGGTGGTTTGTCTCCTAATCCATATACACAGGAAGTGATTTAATACACAGTAGAGTACCCAAGAAGTCAATTTATACCTGTGCTGGGATTTTGAGATGATTTTAAATTAGAGATAAAAAGTTGTAAATAAAGATTAATCTCAATAATTTTTATTACTTTGTAATTGAATGTGTGTCAAAACATCCCCACCCATTAAAAAAAAAATATTATTATTCAAAGTAATTGTTGGGCTTTGAAAAAAAAAGATACACCAAATTTTGATATATACTATCATAAAAAATACCATAATTTAATATTTCAAATACTAAAGGTGTGTATGTATATATATATTATTAAGCTAAAAATTCCATAGTAATACAGTTTCTCTATTGTTTATACTATGTGTGGTAAATATCAAAGGATCAAAAGTTAATAAGAAGGTCACCACTAGTGCCAAACAAGGTGTACAGGGTATACACAGGAACTAATAAGTAAATGTCAATCAAGTTCTAGCACCCAATGATGTACCTTAATGCACTTGATTGACAGGGGTACACAGAGCAGGTATTTTTGAAGGCGGTGCTTAAAATCTCTGCCTTTAATACTTCCCTGAACATATTTAGTGGTAATAAATTAAACATTGGTAATCAAAGATTACGAAGCTCACCTCGACGAATGTTATCTATAAGTAAGGCAAATTTCACATCATATTTTCTTTTCTAGTTAGTGTACATCCAAGATCAATATCCATGCAAATTTGGTTTAAGTAGGACTTATAGTTATTTGGAAATAGACCTGCTCAAAAAACTTTTAACCTGTTTACTAATCAAGAAAATTTTGGTCAGTTCCAACATCCAAAGCAAGTATGGAAGTTTTCATCCTTAGATGCACCATCTATGCAAGTTTAATCATAATATGCCAGAATACTATATAGCTACTCCAAAATAAAATGAAAGAAAAAGTGAGCAAGCTCACATACCCCACGCTCCCCCAAAACTCGACAATGCAACACGTAATGAATGGCACAGTGCATTTTAAATACACAGTATAATTCAAAAAGGGGCATTACTTGCAAAAAATCATCACATCAAAACTTCTTGCATATAAGGACATTCAAATATTTGTATGTTACAGATTTAATTGGGCTAAAGTTTCTAGATAAATAATGGAATCAAAATTTCTTGGTAATATACAAATCTATACATTATGTCTTAAATACCTACAAAGTTTCAGGAAATTCAGTGCAGGCGTTATGCTGACAAACTGTTATTTAAATTCCTCAGTGATTTCGATTTGTTAATGAGTGTAAGTCCATGTCAACACATGACAATATACACATTCAAATAATTGATGGAAACAAAATTATGATGTAGTCATATGAATTTGTTTATATACTGTATACTTATGAAATTATTTAAGGCAAAACACCAATTTGGGGGTGGGTGGGTGGGTGGGGTGTGAACTATCCAAGATTGTGTGTGTGTGTGTGTTAAATCATTAATATTTTGATCTCAAAATCAATAGGGGTCTTTTAAGGTCTTAAAATATTTCACATAAAACTTCATTACAAAAGCCGATTCCAGTGGATTTCCTTATTACCTAGCTTGAAAGTTTCTTCAATAATAGGCAAAACTCTTAGGGCAAAAATAATGGAATCGGAATTTCCTGGTAATATGCACATCTACACACTGTGTACTAAATATCTGCAAAGTTTAATCAAATTCTGTGCAGCAGTTTCAGAGGAGTTGCACTAACAAACTGTTGATCTCTATATTAAAGATATGGCCAAAAATCTAAGTTGAAAAGTGTCGAAATTCCCAGAAAAATAACGGAATCGGAATTTCCTGGTAATATGCACATCTACATATTGTGTCCTAAATATCTGCACAGTTAGACAAAATTCTGTGCAGCGGTTTAAGAGGAGTTGCGCTGACAAACTGTTCATCTCTATATTCAAGATATGGCCAATAATCTATGTTGAAAAGTGCCGAAATTCCCAGAAAAAATAAGGAATTGGAATTTCCTGGTAATATGCACATCTACACATTGTGTCCTAAATATCTGCAAAGTTTGACGAAATTCTGTGCAGCGGTTTAAGAGGAGTTGTGCTGACAAACTGTTCATCTCTATATTCAAGATATGGCCAATAATCTATGTTGAAAAGTGCCGAAATTCCCAGAAAAAATAAAGGAATTGGAATTTCCTGGTAATATGCACATCTACACATTGTGTCCTAAATATCTGCAAAGTTTGACGAAATTCTGTGCAGGATTTTATATGGAGTTGCACTGACAAAAGAACAGGACTGACGGACTGACTGACTGACGGGTCAAAAACATTATACCTCACGCAACTTATTGCGTGGTGTATAATTACCCTGGTCACTCATCTGGAAAATGTAGGTCAGATTCAGAATCCAAAGCAAGTCGGGAAGTGTCCATCCCTGGATACATCATCCATGATTATTTGGTTAAAATATGGCTAAAATTCACTCATGTGGAAAATCTAGTTCGCATCCAGCATCTGAAGCAGATTGGTAAGTGAACATCCCTGGATGCATCATTCATGCAAGTTTGGTCAAGGTAGGGCTTATAGTTACTTGGGAATGGACCTGCTCCAAAAACTTTAACCTGGTCACTCATCTGGAAAATTTAGGTCAGATCCAGCATCCGAAGCAAGTGTGGTAGTGTCCATCCCTAGATGCATCATCGAAGCAAGTTTGGTTAAGGTAGGGCTTATCGTTACATCGGAATGGACTTGCTCCAAAAACTTTAACCTGGTCACTCATCTAAAAAATCTAGGTCAGAACCAGCATCCGAAGCAAGTGTGGTAGTGTCCATCCCAAGATGCATCATCCATGCAAGTTTGGTCCAGGTAGGGCTTATAGTTACTTGGGAATGGACTTGCTCCTTAAACTTTAACCGGGACGCCAACGCTGATGCCAACGGCATAGCATAAGCTCATCTCGACTTTGTCGAGGTGAGCTAAAAAGGAAAACATGTAAATTGCTAACTCGCTTTACTGTATATATTTTAACAAATTTGTTACATGGATATAACAAATTGCTAATATAGTGAAGTAAATTCACAGGTTCCCAGGACTTTGCTATGAGTTTTACTGTGTTGCGGTCAGACGAATTCAATCAACAGTGGCCAGATAGCTCAGTTAGTAGAGGACCTGTCGAGATTTGGGGGGTCTGGGTTCGGCCCATGAAGACACGAACCGGCTCTTTCCTAGCAGGTCTTTCACTTGTCACTTCCAGAGCATGGTACGGCACCAAATGTAACAAGAGAGGAGAAAAATGAGATGAACCACACTGGGATTCGAACCCGGACTCCCTGAATCTCAAGTCAGGTGCTCTACCAACTGAGCTATCTGGCCAATGGTGATCAAATCCATCTGACAACCACAACTGTATTAAAAGAAATGGCTTCCAGATTACAACTTCAGTTCTTTGATATACCTTTCTAACTAAAGAAAGGTAACTATTGATCTTAAAGCTAAAGGTAAAAGGTTTAAAAGGTCACAAGTTCATATATGCTAAGGTTTCTAGATTGATTCAAAATTATCTATAACTAAACCAGAAGTCTCTGATGAGACTGTAGCTCTACTGGTTGTACTTATAAAGGAAGATAAAAGTAGCACTTGGGCTTAAAACTTTGCAACAGCAATGAATAGAAAAATGATCCTTGGTTTAGTCTTTTTTGTGGCAAGATTTCTTGCAATCAGACTAAAACTGTAGGTGGAGTAGCCTTTTATAATAATTTTACAGAAATTTTGATTTAAGTATCCATGGCAACATCATTCAACAAAATCAAAAAACTATACCGACAATTATGTATCTCAGTGTAGTCTACTTGTATGCCAAGTTATACTGAAATCAGACAAAAAGTGTATGAGGAGTAGCGTTTTGAAAGTATTTCAAGAAATTTCTATTTTTAGTAACCATGGCAACACCGTTCATCAAAATCAAAAACTTATACAGAGAATTATGTATCTAAGTGTAGTCTACTTGTGTGCCAAGTTATGCTGAACTCGGACCAAAACTGTAGGAGGAGTAGCGTTTTGAATGTATTTCACAGAAATTTCTATTTTTAGTAAACATGGCAACACCGTTCATTTAAATCAAAAACCAATACACAGAATTATATATCTTATTATACTCTACTTGTGTGCCAAGTAATATTGAAATCAGATCAAAACTGTAGAGGAAGTAGCGTTTTGAAAGTTTTCACAGAAATTTCTTTTTTTAGTAACCATGGCAACACCGTTCATTGAAATCAAAAACCGATACACAAATTTATGCATCTTATTATAGTCTACTTGTGGGCCAAGTTATATTGAAATCAGATCAAAACTGTAGGAGAAGTAGTGTTAAGAAAGTTTTTCACAAAAATTTCTATTTTTAGTAACCATGGCAACACCGTTCATTGAAATCAAAAACCGATATAAAGAATTATGTATCTTAGTGTAGTCTACTTGTGTGCCAAGTTATATTGAAATCAGACCAAAACTGTGGAGGAGTAGCGTTTTGAAAAATTGTTTACAGATGGACGGACAGACAAACAGCTAGACAGACGGACACCTTACTATTGCATAAGCTCTTCTGGTCTCTGACCAGTAGAGGTAAAAATGACCCCCACTGAGCTTAAAGTGAAATGGTCAAATGTCAATGTCACAAACACTTTGTTTCAGTCTCTCAAATAAATATTGACTGTCTTTCAGCAGGAGACACAAATTCCTGGAACAGCAAATTTAAGATATCCGATGCATCAATAGCAAAATTTAATGAAGCACCATCATAGAAATCTATAATGACTGAGGTATTCCTGACCATGTTTGTTGGTTGTGATAGAAGACCATAAAATTTTACATAGTTTGAAAATAAACTGTGAATTTATCTTTCCTTGCTATGTAAATGAGAAACTGGAAACAATCAAGCATCATTATCCCATTCATGATTTTATTTTAAAATTTATAACAATGGATCATGTCATTGCAGCAGCTGTGGTTGATTTCTTTACTGTTGTGGTGGCTGTGAGTAGATAACCACCCCCAGCACTCATCTGTATTACAGGGTGTGTTCTCATTGGCAGGATCTGTTATATAAAAACAGTTTACATAAACAGAAAGACAAAAATATCTGGATGAAGGGACAAAAGAAACAATTGGATTAGATTGGAAATATCCTATTTAAAGTAAATGCATTGTTGTATAAATTCTAACAGGAACATTTTGTGTGCAACCTAGACCTAGAACAGAGTCCCAGTTTTCCGTGAAATGGATTGGGGAAGTTACCTGATATTCCCTAAGCCAGGTTTCTGAGACCCTGTAATTCACCAAACATCCCATCTCTCTCAGATAGGCATAAGCATCCATCACAGCCTGTAAAAAGATATAATTATGATATTTATAAGTAGAAAAACATGAAATAGTTACAAAAAATTATCTGATTATTATTTTAACTGCCAAGAAGGATTTTACCAAGAAAGACAAGGTATCAAGCTGTCTACTTTATCTAGCACATATTTAATCTGCATCTCTAAAATAACCTATATTCTGTTGTCCAGTCTTTTTTATCTTGGTCATGATACATGTTCATTACAAGCCGAGAAAAATTTATCAGTAATTTTTAAATAAAAATGTTACAAAGTTCCATTTTCAAATGCATAAAAAATGTATAGTCTAAGAATTTGCTTAATACATGTACAGTCAAACCTTGTTATCTCAAAACCAAGAAAAAACTTCAAGATATCCGAGGATTCGAGATATCCAGGGTAAAATACTTAAAGAATAAGGGTTTGGGCCCTCAAAATCCCTTCGACATATCCATGATATTCGAGATGTTAGTGTTCGATATACCAATTTCAACTGTATTTTTCTATTTAGCCAAAACTGGAATGTCTGAAAGAGAAATCAATGAAAAGAGAAATAAATCCCCTACCTCCTTATACTGGCTGTACACCACGACAGGTCTGGATGTGGCCACATATTCTATTAAAGTAGTCACCAGAGGTGTAGGGTTGTATTTGCTGGCTATGATCAAACTATTAAAGAAATTAAGAGCAATTTATTGACATTGTAAATTAACTAGCAATTACATAATAGGTGCTAAAACAAAAAAAGAGGGTGGGAGAGGGTTAGTAAATAAGGGATGTTCTGCAATCAGCATATTTTATTTCAAGGTGGTTCACAAAACATATTTAATTTTACTCATTTATACAGAGACCATTAATATTTTGGCAGATACATGTGTATATACATATACAACGCATATTTATGCTGATTTTATTATTAATTGACAAGACCCCCTACCCCTTTTCCCAAACCTGCAACTCTGCTTTGTAGCTTAATATTTTTATCTAGTTTATCAGTCTGTAATCAAAGAAAATATTTGCCCACTCACCAGTCAATGTCACATTTCAACAGAAGTTCTCGGGCCTCAAATAATCTTTTGTTGTACAAAACTTTGTTTGCTTCTCTTGCTGATAACTGTTTAAGAAAATATGACAAAAATTATAATCCAGCAAAATAATATGAATTCTTTAAATTCCTAAGCCAGAAAAACTTTGGAGGTAAACCTTTACAAAACACATAACAAATGCTGTACCTCTGTTTTCATCTTTTTAGCTGCTGGGCTATCTACTTCTTCACCCTCTGTGGTTGTACTTTTCCTTGATTTAAACCTTTCATCAAATACTTCTCTCATTTTCTTAGTGTCATCATTTGTATCTGAAGAATTATCTCCCTTTTCATCACTGTGAAGTGATTCTTTAGTTAAGTTTATACTTTGAGTATCACTGTTTGTTTGTTCAGAATTTTCAGCTTTTAAAGAGTCAATTTCACAAAATGGAAAGTTGTACAAATTATCCAAGAACTCCTTTGGAAAATCAAGATTATCCAAAATTGGTCTGTAAAGACAAATTCATTAATAAGAATACTTACAAAATCTTCAGAGCAGACAAAAATGTAACGTACAACACATATGAAGTATACCAAAATCTACAAACCTCACTGGTCTATCACCTGGATGGAAGTGTATTACTTTTCCATATCCTAAAACTCATTAAAGAGAAAATGTTATAATTTAATATGAACAAGAAGTCTGTGAGCCAATGCTCACTAGTAATACCCCCGCTTTGATGTGAATATACATTCTGATGTGAATGTACAAGTTCAGTTATGGACAGACACAAGGATGAACAAGAAGTTGACATCAGATTCGTACAAAAATGAATCCCACCATATTGCAGGCCTAAACAAAGAGTGTGCTAAAATTTCAAGCATCTGCAATCGGTAGTTGCTGAGAAAACTGCAACCAAAATTTGTTATGTATGGTACGGACAGACACACGGATAAACAGGAAGTTGACATCGGATTTGTACAAAAATGATTCCCACCATATGGCATGCTAAACAAACAGTGTGCTAAAATTTCAAGTATCTGTAATCAATAGTTGCTGGGAAAACTGCAATGAAAATTTGTCACGTATGATACGGACAGATGCACAGATGAACAAGAAGTTGACATCAGATTCCTACAAAAATGAATCCCACCATATGACATGCCTAAACAAAGAGTGTACTAAAATTTCAAGCATCTGCGATCAGTAGTTGCTGAGAGAACTGCAACCAAAATTTGTTATGTATGGTATGGACAGATGCACGGATAAACAGGAAGTTGACATCGGATTTGTTCAAAAATGATTCCCACCATATGGCATGCCTAAACAAAGAGTGTGCTAAAATTTCAAGCATCTGCAAATCAGTACACACAAGGGTAAAACAGTATACCCCCCTCTCCTTCGGAGTGGGGGTATAATTATTAACAACTTTGTATAAATAAATCTAAATTGATACAACATAATTTTAATAAACGTAAGCTACAACTGATGTCAACATTGTAGGATTATATTCATCATTTATGCCAATCTTGGTACTGCACATGCTTTTATCTCTATAAGTACCTGATATACAGGTTATTTGAACTTTACCATTGAATCAGTTCTCCCCTTATTTTTATTTTTTTTATCATTTTTTTAATCTTTACACATATACACTGTACATCTATAAAGATATTTTTAAAACTGGAAATTTTATTTAAATTCAAAAATAGTTTTGCTACTTGTTACATTAATAGTCAGCTTTAAATGAAACTCACTTAGAATAGACTTAACATCGGCACAAGTATTTTAACACATTAAGAATTTGAATGACCTGCATGACATTTTAGTATTTGGGGGTTATCAGTTTTCATGCACACCTTTATTGTATATAGTTTACCTCCCAATCTTTCCATCACAGCCCCCACTACGAGTCCTGAACATGTGTCCACTACAGCTACATTTGTATAGGCATGGACATTTCCATAGGTCAGAATCTGTGCCAGAGTATCCATTCTTATATTACTGCAATTACATGTAGTTTAATGGCTGTTTAATATCATCAAGGTAACATACATTTGGAAAGGTATAGCACTACAGTAAAACTCGGTTATAGTGAAGTTCTGGGGACCTGCAAATATACTTCCCTATAATCCATAATTCGTTTTATCCGTACAACGAATTCCTTGAAGTACACATAGTGAATTCACAATATAGATTTTTTCATTCAAATATAATGACTACCAAATGTATTTAGGAAGTATATACTAAATACAAAACTTACATTGGAATTCAGAAGTTTTCGCACAACCAAGCTTTATGATAAACATGATAACTATAACTTTTCAATCGTCAACTTCCCATACTTATGCAGCAATATACCTTCATCACCTGCATTCAGGGTTTATATCTCTCAGTTGATTCGATATGCAAGAGCATGCTCTACATATGAACAATTTCTGAAATGAGGTAAGTTGACAAACAAGTTGATGAAACAAGAATATTAGCAATTAGCGTTAGCATTTAAAGTTGTCATTTCGTAAGTTCTATAGTTGATACAATGACCTTGTCAGCAAATACAATCTATCATTATGTCAAATGCTGACTGATGTTTTTATGCCCCCGGATCGAAAGATCCCGAGGGTATATTGTTTTTGTCCTGTCTGTCTAGCTGTCCGTTTGTCTGTCTTTCTGTTGTCAAATTTAACCTTGCCCATAACTTTTGATTGGTTGGAGCTATGACTTTCATATTTCACATGTGTATTCCTTGTGACAAGACCTTTTTTTGGGTACCATCATATTTGACTTTTTGACCTTGACCTTGGAATTTGACCCACTTTTGCAAAATTTTATGAGACTTTAACCTTGGTTATAACTTTTGAACAGTTGGTGCTTGGGGTTTCAAACTTCACATGTGTATTCCTTGTGACAAGACCTTTCTCTAGATATCAACCTCTTTGACCCTTGACCTTGACCTTGGAGTTTGACCTACTTTTGAAAAACTTTAACCTTGGCCATAACTTTTGAATGGTTGGAGCTAGGGCTTTCATACTTCACATATGCAATCCTTGTGACAGACCTTTTTTTGGATACCAACCACTTTGACCTTTTGACCTTGACCTAGGAGTTTGACCTACTTTTGAATAACTTTAACCTTGGCCATAACTTTTGAATGGTTGATGCTAGGGCTTTCATACTTCACATATTTAATCTTTGTGACAAGACCTTCCTTTGGATACCAACCACTTTGACCCTTTGACCTTGACATAGGAGTTTGACCTACTTTCGAAAAACTTTAACCTTGGCCATAACTTTTGAATGGTTGATGCTAGGGCTTTCATACTTCACATATTTAATCTTTGTGACAAGACCTTCCTTTGGATACCAACCACTTTGACCCTTTGACCTTGACATAGGAGTTTGACCTACTTTCGAAAAACTTTAACCTTGGTCATAACTTTTGAATGTTGATGCTAGGGATTTCATACTTCACATATGTAATTCTTGTGACAAGACCTTCAAATTTCACAAGTATATTCCTCGAGACAAGACCTTTCTTTGGGTACCAACATTTTTTATCTTTTGCCCTGGATTTTGACTTGCATATGAGAAACTTTAACCCTTGTCATCAGCTGCCATATGGGGGCATCAGTGTTTCACAAACACATCTTGTTCATACTAATTGTTAGGCCAGTATTTACACACTGAATTGTCGGCAGATTTTTCTGTTATTTCCCGATCATGACAAGGAACACAAGTGGGTGTGACTGGTCAGCAGGGGGTGCTCACTTTTCCATGGCACCTGATCCAACCTCTGATGTTTTAGAGGTCCATGTATGCTCTGCACCAAAATTTGTATTGTTTAGCTATGGAGTGGTGTGGTGTTTGTAACTTTATGGGAATGATCTTGAAAGCAGTGGATAAAGACTTTGAAAGATCAGTAATGAATATCTTTAAAAAGTGTATACTTATTACAAGTGCAACCATATATTCTTCATGTTTTATTCATTAATGCATTGGCAGTATTTTTTTCCTTTTTATTTGTGCATTTAATACTGCTTATTCAAATACAAATTCACATCTCCACAAGTTTTTCTTGATGCATGACATTGTGTAGAAAACTACTACATGCATTTTTTATTGATACAAGCATTTGCAATTTTTGTGCAGAAATTCAAAAAGCTTTTGGCAATTTGAATGACTGTAGCCCTCTTGGTCTTCAGAAGTTGAATATATTACATTAACAACATAAAAGTATGACCCCAAACTTTGGTTCCAGTGGTAAAAAAAAAACAAAAAACAAAAACGAAACCAAAAAAAAAAAAAAAAACAAAACAAAAAAAAAAGCAAAGCAAACATTATTCAAAGCAGCTTACACAAATGTTTCTATGCCCCTGTATCGAAGATTTGGGGGTATATAGTTTTTGCCCTGTCTGTCCGCCTGTCTGTCTGTCTGTTTGTCTGCAAAAACTTTAACATTGCTCATAACTTTTGATTGGTTGGAGCTATGGTTTTCACATTTCACATGTACATTCCTTGTGACAAGACCTTTCTTTGGGTACCATCACATATGACCTTTCGACCTTGACCTTAGAGTTTGACCCACTTTTACAAAATTTTACCAAACTATAACCTTGGTCATAACTTTTGAACAGTTGCTGCTAGAGCTTTCATACTTCACATGTGTAATCCTTGTGACAAGACCTTCCTTTAAGGACCAACAACTTTGACCTTTGAGTTTGAGCTACTTTTGAAAAACTTTAACCTTGGCATAATTTTTGAATGGTTGGTGCTAGGGCTTTTATACTTCACATGTGTAATCCTTGTGAAAAGGCCTTTCTTTAGATATCAACAACTTTGACCCTTTGACCTTGACCTACAAGTTTGAGCTACTTTTGAAAAACTTCAACCTTCGCCATAACTTTTGAACGGTTGGTGCTAGGGCTTTTATACTTCACAAATGTAATCCTTGTGACAAGACCATACTTTGGATACCAACAACTTTTACCCTTTGACCATGACCTTGGAATTTGACCTGCTTTTAAAAAACTATGATCTTGGCCATATCTTTTTAATGGTTGGTGCTAGGGCTTTCATATTTCACATATTATGTATTTCTTGTGAGAAGGCCTTTCCTTGGGCATCATTAATTTTGACATTTGACTTTGACCTTGATGTTTGACTTACTTTTGAAAAACTTTAACCCTTTCCATATCTTTTCAATGCTTTCATATTTCAAACATATATTCCTCAGGACAAGACCTTACTTTGGGTACCAACATATTTGATTTGCATTTGAGAAAATTTAACCTTCGCTATAAGTTGCTGTACAGGGGCATCAGTGTTTCACAAACACATCTTGTTTCTTTCTGACCCAGTCATTCTTGAAAAATTTAAAATAACTCTTCCTAATTTTACCATTTCTAACTTTAAAATGGGCATGACTTTCAATATGAAGAAACCTGAACTCCCTTCACCAAAAGGATGTTTCAGACAAACACTGCTTGAAATTGGCTCATTTGTTATGGACAAAAGTTCAAATATGAAAAGTTGACAGAAAAACATGATGTGTTCGTAAAACACTGATACCCCTATACGGCAGCTCATGGCAAAGGTTATTAAAGTTTCTCAAATGCAAGTCAAATCCATGAACAATACTGGTATGCAAAGAAAGGACTTGTCACAAGACTCTGAAATATGAAAGCCTTAGCACGAATTGTTCGAAAAATATGGCCCAGGTTAAAGTTTTTTAAAAGTAGGTCAAACTCCATGTTCAAGGTCAACATTAATGGTGCCCAAGGGAAGGTCTTGTCACAAAAAAACACTATGTCAAAAGTCAAGATTAAAGTTTTTTGAGGTGTTGGAACCTAAGGAAAGTCCTTGTCACAAAGAATACACATATTTCATCAACATAAAAGTTTTTCAAAATGGGGTCAAACTCCAAGGTCACAAATATTTGCACCCAAAGTAAAGGTCTTATCACAAAGAATACACATGTGAAGTATGAGAGCCCTAGCATCAACTGTTCAAAAGTTATGGCCAAGGTTAAAATTTGGCTAAATTGTGCAAAATTGGGTCTAACTCCAAGGCCTAGGTCAAGAGGTCAAATAGGTTAGTACCCAGAGAAAGGTCTGGTCACAAAGAAGAAACACATGAAATATGAAAGCCATGGCTCCAAACAATCAAAAATTATAAGGTTAAATTTTTTGCGGATAACCAGACAGACAGAATGAAAACTATATGCCCCAAAATCTTCGATTACGTGGGCATAAAAAGAGACATGGTAACTGGAAAGATGAATGACAAACTTTAAACCTGAAAACTTCACTTTCCTCTTTGGTTCACATGTTTACACTGAAGTACAAATGAAAATATACTTACAGAATCTTTGCTGCCGACTTTTCATGGTACATCTGGCACATTAATCTGGTGTTTGGTTTTAGCACTGTAAACTCTGCCACATGTCTAAAATAATAAATACCATTTTTGATATTTTGATCTCTACAGAATATAATAAAACATTAGCTGACTTAAATGAGAGAATTCACACAACAACTTTTAAAACATAATTTCTGAATATTTAAATTACAGTTCTTACTTTTGCTTCTTCTTTTTGACCCATTTCTCTTGAGCGAATTCTGTCTTTCCTTTAAAAGTTGTGCTGTTTTCTATAAGCTGCCCAATGATTTCCTGTAAATTCAATGAATGAATCATCAATTAAATGTACTGTACTGGAAAAAATCCCCCATCCCCACCTAAACATATACTTTAATGAGCAAATTTATCACCTGCTAACATGTACGTGTATACTATCATTCCAATAACAGTGCGTCACTTCCCTTGAACAAGTGTGGTAAAACTTCATAAATTGGTAATCATTTTATTCATCGTATAATGAAAAGAGCTAGATTGCTATTTCAATATGACATTATGATTATAGGAAGAAAAAGTTGCTTTGCCTGACCATGTGCAATTGTCATATGTACTGCATAATCGTGAACGATCATTCAACACAATTGGTCAGTATTGTCAGTGGTATTGCTGGGCTCTGTGTTTCATAGTATGTAGTATATTGATTTCATTGAAATCAAGCATCCAATCGATGAGCAATATGGTAATCAATCTGTGAAATTTTACAACAGTCAAACAAACTGACAGGCTGTTATTGGAATGATAGTAACAAGAGTCTTAAGTACTGAAAGAAAGTTAAAATGGGAAAAATCCTCTTTTAATGTGCTTGGGCGAAAATAAGTAAGGGCATATATTTATCAGTTTACAAATTACAATACAGTTGAACTTCGTTATCTCGAACACCAATATCCCGAATACCATTGATAAGTCAAAGTGATTTGGAAGTCCTAACCATTTATTCTGTAAGTATTTTACCCTGGATATCTCATGCTTTGACTGTACATAATTCATACTGCACAATCAAAGATCAACTTATTAAACAAAATCAGAATAATTAAACAAATACAGTTGAACTTTGGTATCTCAAACACTGATATCTCAAATCCCATGGATATGTTGAAGAGATTTGGATGTCCCAACTACTTATTCTTTACGTACTTAACCCTCGATATCTCAAATCATCAGATATCTCTCAGTTTTTTTCTCGGTCCCATGGAGATAACAAGGTTTGACTGTATGTGACATTCCATAAGATTTAACATACACACATATTTAAAAAAAAATTTGTAATGCTGCTACATGTATTGCAGGTGATTTGTGCACATTTCAATCTCTGCTTTCATTAATGTTGGACATCACATGCATGTTCTTTAAAATTCAGAATTTAAAAAAGTTTCATTCAACTCCACCTCTCCTTTTGCGCCTTCCTTTTTCATCTTTTCAATGTCTTCTCTTGATAACTTCTGATTGCTGTCCAGGTCATGCAAGTTCCTGTTATCCGTTCCTTTCTCTGCACCTGAGTAAAGAATTTGAAATGAAAAAATGTTTATTCTGTTGTAAAATGGGTTCTCTGGACACAGATTTTCAAATGTTAATGCTGATGAACATTATACATGTAAATACCATAAATCCACATTAAAACATGCTTAAAGCAAAAATAAAAAATAAATTCATGAAATACTGTTTGCCAGTTATTTTCCTCCTTTCACATTAGCAAACAATTTTGCTCCATTTCAAATTAACCCAGACACAGTTGCATTCAAGAAATAGTGCCGTCTTCTTTGAATTCACTCAGATTTAAATTTGCCCACTTGAGAAGAGGGGCGAAAGGGGCAAAAACAAAACAGGAGTGAAAATTTCCCTACATACAGTATATGCTGTGGAAAAAGTCTTACTTTTTCCCTGTGATAGAAAATGATGATGATGTAATGAATTATAAATAATGTTACCTCTCCCTGGACTCTGTTGCTTTGGTTTACATTACCTAAAACTTCCGCTTCTTTAAATGTTTTCTGTATCTTATGCATCTGTCCACTCTTGACCTCAAAATTTGATCCATAGACATGACTAATAGCTCCATCAAGGGTAAACTTTATCTTATCGAGCCATATGTCTCTACATCACAGAAAAAATGCATATTAAATAACAGATATGAAAACTAATACAGTTCACCACTAGTACATTTCATAACAGAAAGACATCATCATGAAAGGTAGATCCTGGATTTAAGTGGGATACTTAAAGGAAAAGTAAAAAAAATCTTCTACTAAATATACATATTTTGATGGATTAAAAAAGTTCTTGTCAAACTATAAATTTAGGAAATTTTTAATGTGTTGTATCTTCAGGAGGTTTCTTTATCAGGTTGGGCACAGACCACCAAACAGTGGTTTAACCCCCCATTTGGTGGTCAATTACCCATATCGAGTCTATATTGTTTACCATATGGTGGTCCTTTATATTCTAATTCACTTTTAATGAAAACAAAGCACATTCGAACAGGCTTCAGGGAATTTTGCTAAACATGTACCTGGTGCAAATAAGACAATTCAGTTGATTTTCCTTGTGAAACAAGAAGTCTGTGAGCCAATGCTCACAAATAATACCCCCACTCTGATGTGAATACACAAGTTCAGTTATGGACAGACACAGTGATAATCAGGAAATTGATATTGGATTTGTACAAAAATGAATCCCAACATATGGCATGCCTAAACAAAGAGTGTGTTAAAATTTCAAGCACCTGCGATGAGCAGTTGCTGAGAAAACTGTGATCAAAATTTGTTATGTATGGTACGGACAGATGCACAGATAAACAGGAAGTTGACATCTGATTTGTATAAAAATGAATCCCACCATATAGCATGCCTAAACAAAGAGTGTGTTAAAATGTCAAGCATCTGCGATGAGTAGTTGCTGAGAAAACTACGACCAAAATTTGCTATGTATGGTATGGACAGACACACGGATAAACAGGAAGTTGACATCGGATTTGTACAAAAATGAATCCCACTATTTGGCATGCCTAAACAAAGAGTGTGCTAAAATTTCAAGCATCTGCAATGAGTAGTCAAATCCAAAATTTGTCACAGACAGACAGACAGACACACAAGGGTAAAACAGTATACCCCCCTCTCCTTTGGAGCGAGGGTAAAATTACTGCAAATCTTTGTTAAAAATGATATCCATGTACCTTCATGTTAGGCCTGAGTATCGCAAGCTACCTAATGATATGATACACATCACGATATGGTCATACGATACAACATATATCATGATATAGCTGTCAACAGTTGAATTAACCATTATCTTAACATATTATTCTTTGCTAACCTCCACAGTTATAGAAAATATAAAAAGAATATCTTGATATCCCTGACCAAAGTTAATAAAAGGTGGATTAATAGTCTTGACATTGTATTTTTTCTTTGCTACCCTTTTTTCAGCCATTTTAAAACATTAAAATTTGTTAGGTTGTATGTTGAAGTTTCAAACAAAATAATGAAAATTATCTTGTACTGTATCACGATACATGCATGGTGATACGATACGTGTATCATGAACCCTTGCGATCAATACGATCCATGTATTGCTGTATCTAGCTGCAGAACTGTAGCTCTCTGCTTGAGAAAATTCGGACAGACAAAGCAGAGAGCTACAGATCCAAGCGTTGTAAAAACCTTCGATTTACGCCACCGCTTTTTGTCGCTTGCTTCGGCTATTGTTTCTTGTAATTAATGCTTTCCCCTGCTTTAAAAGTGGTATCCAATAATTATCCATATATTTTAATCATATTTCTGATACTTTATTTACCTTTCAACAGTCTCAAACAGCCCTTTATGGTTTTGAAATGTCGGTTTAAAGAATTCCCATTCTGACATCCATGTTATTGGGGGTTGTGCGTAAAGAAGTAATTCAAAAAACATATACTTGTCAAGAAAATGTAAATAAAAATTTCAGGAGGTTTAAATATCATGTATATTGTCTATAAAGATTAGAATACAACATGTATGTAAAAAAGAAATGAGATAAATAAAACTCAGGCGTGTTGTTTCAGGAGGACACCAACGTCGATGTGCATTTTTTAAACTGACATTACGGCCGTCTGGAACTGTTGAAAGGTAAATAAAGTATCAGGAATAGGAGTAAAATATATGGATAATTATTGGATACCACTTTTAAAGCAGGGGAAAGCATTAAATACAAGAAACAATAGTCGAAGCAAGCGACAAAAAAGCGGTGGCGTAAATCGAAGGTTTTACAACGCTTGGATCTGTAGCTCTCTGCTTTGTCTGTCTGAATTTTCTCAAGCAGAGAGCTACAGTTCTGCAGCTATGCTGTATCATTACATCTCTACTTCATGTTAACATGAAACTTCTTTCTCAATAAATGAAAAATTTAAATTACGAATAATTTTTTTTTCTATTTGTTAACAACTTTTGCATATCATTGGATACAAAACTGAAGTACATGTACGTCATATTAAAAGTTTATATAGTTTTCATGGCCGGAGGAAACGGGGGGGGGGGGGGCAAATAATTGGCGATCTATAGAATACTATAGGAAATTAATTCGTATTTTAAAATACAATATTAGAAATGAATCATTAATATTCTCCATTTGTAAGATCATTATTTTCATCACTTTAAATAAGTAACAACTTCATTATACGATAATATATATTTAATATTCCATTTGGTTTCGATTTGGGTCCATTTGATTTCGATTTGGGTTTCCATTTGTGTCCATTTGGGTTCCATTAGTGTAAATCGACGTGCCGTTGATGAGCAATGTTTACATGCATTGTTTTCAGAAGAGTTCAAGCTTGAATTCATTCACTGCACTAAGATGCGACTTTTTGTACATGATGAAAAAAATAACACATTTAAGGAAAAAGTGTCATAAAATAGCTAAATTAAGCTATATAGCTATTTCAGGCTATATAGCTACATGTAAATCAAGAGATACAGATAGTGCTGGACCGACCACTGCCGACTCAGTCCATTACATGTAACAAAGTTAAGTAAATTATGTATTAATGTACCGTTTCTTTCGGATCTGAAAAACTCGAACTGTCTTTCCTTTCTTTAATATCACATGATCCCCTTCTTTTATCGTTACATTTGATGATTTATTTTTCTTCTCACACATGGATTGACTTGAAGTCGCCATATTCGTCAAAGTTAGGAAAATGCTTTAGAGCACACTGCATGTGATCATATTTTCTAAACACACTGGTGATTATGACTCTATTATAGCGACATCTGTAAATAAATGCACGTGCAAATATTCGAAAATGAAAGTTAGACGATGTCTAATGAGACCGTTAGAAAATCAGATAAGTACAAGAAAAGAGTTTCAAAATTTGTAAAAGTTATCTGTAAACGTTTGCAACCTTTCAAGGGAATATTCAAAGAGAAATCTGAACATATTTCAAAAAGTGTGGTTTCCTTCAAAAACCACAAAATCAATATTTTGTTCGGTTCCCAATTTATCCGATTCCGACAAAATCGTGTGACTGTATTCAGTATTGATGACGTTGAACATAACCAAATTGAACTTATAACAAAATATGTTTGTTTTGTAAAATCTTCATTTGTTGACGAGCAAGTCATTTTCAAACTTTCAAAAGAGAGTGAAGGCAATTCCCAATCTCTTGTGCTAATTTTTTCCCCCCTCCCAGACACAATACTGGATTTGGAGATGGCTCAACTTAGAAAATCTAGCTCAGCGTTTAAAAGAAATCAACCTCAAGAAAAGTATCTTGTCAAGTTATACCCAAAATACTTGCCCATGAAATTAAGCGCTTGTACATCTGATACAACATATTTAAGAACAGAAGTAGACTCAAAAGCTCCAATTTGCTGGTTAGATATTCAAGCATGGTATGTCAAACAAAAACAGCTGGATGAAGATGCAATCAATAGTGGAGTTGTTAAATCAAAAAGTGATTCTTTAATAGCACGTAACAATATCAGTGATGCAGAAAACAGAGTTCAAACTATTGAAAGATCCAACAAGGCATGGTTGCAAAGAAAATTTAAATATTCTGCAGCTATGGAATACATAGAAAATGCCACAAAGGTCTTTGAAGATTCTATAGTTGAACTGGTTATTCAAATGACAAAGGGCTTCAATGTATATCAGTATAAACTACGATCAGAATTACTGGTAGACTGTCTCAAGTTCTTCTGTGTTCCCCATGAAATGCCCAGTGTGACCATTCATTGGGTCCCTACTCTTTCTGATTATTTTGCTGATGACACTGAAATTGATAAAAACTGTCAGTGCATTGCTAAAATTAATGGCCCAGCATCCATTCTACTGAAAAAGAAGGAGTTAGCAGTGTGGGACACTCTTGGATACATCATTGGAGTAGATCCTAAACATATTGCACTGTTATAGGTTGTTCGCAATAAATTCCAAACAACTGTATTATTAGAGATGACTGTGATTTTTTTTTCACATTTCTTTAATGTACACATGCAGTATTAAATTTGATATTTAGATATTACTGTTAGCCAAATGGTCCTAAAAAATGTACACAACTGTTAATTCTTAACAAAAAATTTGCTATAGAATTGTTATACATGTATAAGTAAATTGATACAAACCCATTGGGATCACATCTTGTTTATTATTTACAGCTGAAAACATACATACTTAAAATGGTATATCTATATATCACAGTTACAATACATAAGGTCTGTAGACTTATTAGGCTACATTGTCAGGTAATAGTTGACCAGTGACTAGTTTATCATGAATCTGATGGTCTTTGTCATTGGAAAATGAATCTCTCAGCTGACAATATCTCTGGATATCAGCATCAGTCAAAGATGGAGTTAGATTTTCCAAAGCTTCGTCAAAATCCTGCTGTGACACTAGTATTACTGTCTCATCAACACTCTCTCCTGCAAAGCAAGTGAGAAAACAACAGATGAAAAATACAGTCTAGTTATAGTGTGCATTCCTATATATTTCATCAATGCTAGTCTGCTCTTTGAAGGGCTCAAAATTTAACTGGAAAAACCTGCTCCAAAACCTTTAACTTGGTCACTCATCTGGAAAATGTAGGTCAAACCCAGCATCCGAAGCAAATATGAGAGTGTGCATCCCTTGATGCATGATCCATGCAAGTTTGGTCCAGGTAAGGTTTGAAGTCACATTTGAATGAGCCCGCTCCAAAAACTTAAACCTGATCACTCATCCTGAAAATGTAGGTCAAATCAAGCTCCGAAGAAAGTCTGATAGTGTGCATCCCTTGATGCAAAATCCATACAAGTCCAGTTCAGACAGAGCATGATGTTATACTGGAATGAACCTGCTCCAACAATTTTAACCTAGGATGCTGACACCAATGCTGACACTGAGGGTATTACATAAGCTCTCCAAACTTTGTTGAGGTGAGCTAAAAAACTACATGTCACAAATGCCTTTGTTAAAAAATTTTCATGTACCCTTAGGCCAGCCATTTGGGGAGGGAGGGGGGGTTAATATTCTTACTCAAGTTATTAAAAGTCTTATTAATAGAGGTTATTTGTTTTAATTTAAACATGCCTTCGAAAAAAAATGTAAATGTAGAGTTATACAATATACATGTATCAAAGAACTTCAAAATGCTTAAATTTCCTTTAAAAATTGAATATATTTGTATACATTTTTTCTTATCTAGAAATAATAATATGTAATATTTAGAAGTAATAATAAGATGTAATAGGTTGCTAGTTTTCTAATCTTTTCAATCCATAACTTCGTACAGCTTTACTTCAGGATTACCACTGGTTTGACTTTTAGATAGCTACTTCTTCCTGGATTCGTGTAAGGGACATAACCCCAAAGGACCCAAGCCTTGACTTGTTAAGATGAAATACCAAATATAACAGTTTGCAGAGAAAATTGATGCCTCTGTTTTAATTTCTTGTGGTTTACCTGCTTCTAACTGCTGGATTTTGCACTTCATTGTATTCAGCATTGCATCTGAACAGAGCGCATAAAAATCTGCTCCTGTTAGATTTGAAGGGCATCTTTCTGCAAAAGCATCTAAATTCACATCCTCTGCCAGTTGAAATCTATAGAAATATAAATAGCTTTGATCACATTGATGATAATAAGTGTCCCTAAAACTTTACTGGAACTTTTTTTTGCCATTTTTTCTATTAAATTTCTTATACACAAACACACACACACATACCTCCTTGTTAAGGCTTTCAAAACATTAAGTTTTGAACTTTTGTCCTCTGGAATTCCCAGATATAACATCTTGTCAAATCTAAAAGAGTTAAAATTGTGATAAAGAGAGAGAAACTTTAAGTCATTCCATAAAAGATCTTTTAAAAAAAAAAAACATTAAAGAAAGAAAAAGTTTAAACTTTAATTTTTTTCTCTCTCACAAATTCTTATTAATGTGAATTAAACCAAAAAATGCATGTATGTTTTATGAATGTACCAGCTGTTCATGGCAATAAATATTAGAAAGTAAAAGAGGGCATAAAACTTTGGTTAAATTCTTGCACACAAACTAAAATTTGTTTACAGTACATGTATTTTGTTTCATTTTCTCTGCCTATTTCTGTTGGTGGTATTTTGCACATTTGGTCATAAAAAGTATTATGGTCCAGAAAAAAAGGTTGAACTTTATTTCTTTTTCCATTACCCAATCTGAATTTTAATTTGAGCAGTTTTTAGAATCATTAAAACTTTGGCTTTAAAGAAATACTTTCATAGATTTAATTTACTAATCATATCGTATTGATATATACAAGTATACAAGTAAATATTGCCGTGACACATACCTGATCATACTGTATTGATATTATAGAGAAACTGTCATGGAATAGGTATGAGGGAAATAGCAAATTTATGGTTCCCCAAGGGAGGAAACTATTTCCCAAGGCGGTGAAGCTGCCTCAGGAAATAGTTTCCTGCCGAGGGGAACCATAAATTTGCTATTTCCCTCATACCTATTCCGTAACTTTTTTATTATACCAAAACAATCATAGAGGATTTATTAAACCAGATATTCAGACATTAGAGCATTTAAATAATCGCAAATGCATGTGATTCAAATTTTGTTAGATAGCTAAATAATTTCATTAACATTTCGAAGGATTTTTGTTGTCTTCATTTTGCTAGAATACTAGCTGGTATGATTTTGACATTGCATGTCGAAATGTTTTGACGTCATAGTTACACTGCTAACAACATTCAATCACAGACTCAAGATTCCTTGAATGCTCTGCCCACTGTTCATTTTTAATTGGTTAAAATTATTAATAAATATTCATGAGGGAGTAGTCCAAGGGTGTAACTCCAATTTTTCAGGGAGTAGTCCTCAGATGAGTGAAGTAGTATCTTCTCAGGGAAATAGTATACAGTTATAGAATGGGTATGAGGGAAATAACAAATTTATGGTTCCCAGGGAGGAAACTATTTCCCGAGGTGGAGAAGCCACTGAGGGAAATAGTTTTCTGCCCAGGGGAATCATAAATTTGATATTTTCCAAGTACCCATTCCATAACTATTTTATTTTACCAAAACAATCACGAGAGATTTATTAAGCTAGAGACTCAAGACATTTTTAAAAACAATATAGAGGCATTTAAATAATCACAAATGCATGTGATTAAAAATATTGTAAGATAACTAATGCATCAATATCAAGGAAAATAAAATTATTAAAAAATACATGTATAAAGTAATTTTACTGACACTTCGAAGGATTATCGTTGTCTTCATTTTGCTAGAATCCAGTATGATTTTGACATCGCATGTCGATATGTTTTGACGTCATAGTTACATTGCTAATAACATTACATCACAGACTCGAGATTCCTTGAACACTCCGTCCACTGTTCATTTTTATTGGTTAAAATTATTAATAAATATTCATGTGGGAGTAGTCCCAGGGAGTAGCTCCGATTTTTCAGGGAGTAGTCCTCAGATTAAGGAAATAGTATCTTCTCAGGGAAATAGACAGTTTTATGGTATTAATTTTATATAGAGTAATAACAGTAGAGGTATAATAAACAGTTTTATGGTATTAATTTTATACAGAGTTATAACAGTAGAGGTATAATAAATAAGTATACAAGTAAATATGGCTGTGACATTTACCTGCCTGGTCTGAGTAATGCTGGATCCAGCAGATCTGGGCGATTAGTAGCACCAATTACAAAAACATCACATGACTT